GAATTCAGACTACGATGAATCGAGCTAATCGATCCCATCGATCTTTCATCCGCCCATGGGATTACTGGGATGGTTTGTTGGTACGTTGTCGACCTTTTTCATCGCTTCATTTTGTGAATCTGATTGCAATTTCAATATTTTTGATACTGGTACTGAGTTGGCCCTAACACTTTTAAAAGCTTTTGCCTAATTAAGGGTAATGTCTAAAATTACATTATGCGCTGTTGTACACGAGTAAGTGGCATTATAATAAGTCCCAAAACCAAATGAAATTTTTAAATATTCAAATATTTTTGGCACCTCAGAACTGAATGTACAATCAGTAATTAACTTCCCGTAGAGTAAGTTATTGTAATCTTCCAAAAATCGAAATTGAAAATTTAATTTTTTTACGTTTCAAAGGTTTCTGAGCATTTTGGCATATTCAATTTGTAATGATGAGAAGACGTTTTGATTAATTTTTGGCAAAGACAGACTCAGTCATAAATAGAGAACTAAAAGTGTAAATTTTTTTTGAGAGAACAATGCATCCGATTCGAATGATTCAAAAATCATTTTGCTTGTGAAGATACAATTAGTTTTTGTGGAAACCAAAAAAAAATATTTCGAAAAAATATGTTTTTTTGAATATCGAGAATGATTCGGATATTAATTTTAGTTCTGAAATTTAAAATTTTGAAGCTCAGTTTATAATAATTAAAACTTTGCAATTCAGTTTATATAATTCTTAAAAATATGAGATGTCACTATTTAATGTTTTAAGTTGAAAATCATATTATGTTGTCTATCGTAACCATTTTTTAAACAACTTTGGATTCTTCTTATACATAATTAAAAAAAATATTTTACATTTCTTATTTATTTATTGTTATTTCATAATTATAAAAACTATACAAAATTTAAAAATATGATTATGATTTCTGTTGATTTTGTTTTGTTAAATTAATCTCGAATTGGTCTTGGTTCTTTGAGTTCATGATTCTGCCAGGCTGGGGTGTCAAGGACCAGCGAGCCAGCTCCGGCTCTGTGTCCGGTTAAAAATGAGATCGATGCTGGCATTCGCGGCTGCCCGCGTAGCATAGCCGGGGTCGCTGGATGTGACCCTCCTTCTTGGTCCCATTCGGTCGATTTCTTATTGCGATCCATGCGATTGAGGGGTTTGTGATACCAATCGTGCTGCAGCGCGCTGCCTTGAGGCGCTGCGAATTCAAACAAATAATTAAGCATTGATTAATAAAATTTAAAAAAATCAAATTCTAGCTCTTTATTTTGCCACCGCATTTTTCTACATTTTATAAAAACACTTTGTTCTGCCGTAAGTTTTCACCATATTCAGATACCAAATGTTATGAACTATATGAATAAATGAAATAACTCACAATGATAATTATAATTCCAATGCATTTTACAATTGGATCATATGAATAAATCATGCTATTAGATTTTTTGTGTAATCAATAATAATCAATTAATATGAAATTTGCGTTGTACTCTATATAGTATCACTTCTGTCGTTCTGCGCGAAAAGTATTCAAACGGTATCAAACGGTATCAAAAAATCAGTGCTTAAGTAATAACTTAAACCAAACGAGAGTTTAAGTTAAATGATAAATAATAGCATATCAAAAAGTTGAAATTGTTAAGTCTGTTTATATATGTTCCAAATAATTTAGTTATAGTTTAATAGTTTAATACTCACAGTATTTTCTATAAACATTCTTTAAGTTCACTGGAAGCATGCCCTCTGAAATTGACGATAAATGCAAAAATTAGATTAGACATATTTTATTATTAATATATACTGCTTTTTTCAGCCAAATATGGTCTGAAATTTACTAGCCCAGTTTTAAATTAATTTAAAGAATTTAAGTTTCAAGTTGGATTATTTGCTTCCAAAAAAGTATATAGTTAAATAGTATGATAAACATGTCTATTAAACTGCAAAACGAAATAGGTGATATTTTGAACTTGGCAGATATAGATTCAAATTATTATTTATTATACACTTACTGCACTTCGGACAACAGTCTGGAAATGCTCTCATTACATCAACAGGTGTGAATTCATCACAATCGACTCGATTGCATCTGGAAAATGTAGATATGTTTTATGAGCATTTTTAAGGCATATTAGTTTATGTTCTTTCTTACCCTTCGACGTATCTGTATGTTCCCGACCCCCTGTGGCACATGATACACATACCCTCGATTGGCTTTTCGAATTCATTGTCTAAGAAATGCATTTTTCTACACTCTATCATTTCCAAACTATCTTCTCCTACCATCAGCACTGAAAAAAACAAAAAATAATATTACAATATAAATTTGGAATATGTCACGATAGATTTTTTCCACGTTCAAGTAATTTGTATGGGTTTTGTGTTCATTAAAGACAATTTCAGGTTTATATCATAAAAGATATTTTTCTCATGATTTATTTTATAACAATTAGGAAACTTAAAAAAATATATTTTTAATATATAAATGAATGAAGATTATCAAAATTCCAAACTCTTTTTATATGTAACTGTAATATTTATGACTGTTATATAACATGTCACGATGATTTCAATTATTTATTACAATATTTTGTCAATAATAACAGACTGATTAATTTAAATTATTGAGCTTTTTGAAGTTTGTGGCTTTTATTATTTATTTTTTCGTTACCTACTTACTCGGATTTTTAGTGATATGCTCTACTGATGCTCTTTGAGACTGTCCATATGGGTGTGATGAAATAACACCACCGGACTGAGGCTGTAAATTTGCTACTGCAAAATGAATACAGTTACTAAATATTTCATCAGAAAGACTGTTTATTAACTCTTTCTAGCAATATATTGAAATTATGTATAGCAAAAGTTTTTGCTTTCGGTGACTTTTGCATATCATGTTTTAATACTTACTCACCGTTTAATCAATTTATTTAATTTTAACGACTTCAAAAATATAGTCCTTATTTAAACTTACCTTGAGTGTTGGTAGGTTGTGTAATATTTCCTCCTAAAAATTTAAGGTTAGTTATAACTACAGAACATTTCATTTTTATTTAGGCATTGTCAGACATTTTAAATATTATTACCAATAGTGTCTCCATAAAATACATGTTCAGTTTTGTTGTACTTCACTTTAAGACCAAATTCGTCTACGTTTTGAAAAGCTGCAAATTTAAAAAGATTTATTTATGGAATTGTTTCATAAATCAAATACCGTGAAATCTACATTTTTATACACAAATATGTTCAGTTTTGTTGTACTTCACTTTAAGACCAAATTCGTCTACGTTTTGAAAAGCTGCAAATTTAAAAAGATTTATTTATGGAATTGTTTTCATAAATCAAATACCGTGAAATCACATTTTTTAATCACAAATTTATACTAACGCTTAGGTGCAGTTTCATACGATACGATCTCGAGTTCTTAAGAATGCTCTTAGAATGATGTTTAACAAAATTTGGAATAAGTCGTAATAATTTATTGAAAGCAATAATTCATGTATATGTATGGGTGTTTTGGTCACAATAACGAATATTTAATTTTTTTCTTTTCCTCTTATGTCCATTGTTATTTTTTTATTTGTTTATTTATTCACATAGGTTAAACTATTCGGTCCACAGAGACTATTATAACGTTCAAGATATAAATAATATAACAAGCAAACTCTTACCAAATTTGGTTTCATATCTGACATGGTAGGCATCTTCGTCGTCATTACTATTGCCCGATCCCTCTATATTATCATCATGCTTTTTTCCACTTCTAGATTTTACTTGTTTACCAGCTGCCTTCCGTTTATATCTGGTTTGATCGTCAGTCGTGGGTAAATCTAAATGTTCAAGTGGTACTGCTTCAATCATTAAATTCGGCGAAGGGCTCAGTGAATTGTTTTCTATTTTAAGGAACGAAACTGGTGCAGTTTCAGTTTTAACATCTCCACTTATACACAAGAGTACTGTCACAGAAACACCCAAAGTTATCTTGAACGCCTGCATGGCATATGGTATATCTTTCGGAGGGTTCTAATGATTCTCTAACTGATCTACTAGTGTGCGGGCTCTTTTTATATTATGACCATTTCTTATCTTTACAAAACAATACGAGGTATTTTCATAAAATAATGCCCCTTCTTCGGTCGCAATAATCGCTTCAGTTGATTAGGAAATTTTAAATAAATAATTGTTATCATTAAATATTCGGCTTTGATGTTTTTTTAAACATTATTTGTAATGAATATCATAAATTCTCAAATATAAAACAATAATTCAGCAGCAGCTAGGTTATCGAATATTTTGAATTTATGATTTATATGTGAGAAATGATCACCGCAACGTGAGAACGTATTGCGTTAGTATACGCATATAAATATACACATATATATTATCGCAATTGAGGATACTATATTTTAATAGTCCTACGTTTTTTATATAGTATTTTTAACATTTGTTATTTTATTTATCTTTATTTATTTTATCTACACACGAGCAAGAGTTTATTACTCGATGATGATCTAACCATTATTTCTTTGTTGTTAGAATTCATATCGACTTTGGTGCGAATATTTTCTAGAGGTTTACCTCAAAAATAAGAAATTTTATTAGTTGCATCATTTTTTTATTTTGGCCTTGATGATTTTATGAAAATTAACAATAAAATATATTAAAAAATTATTATATCACTTGCAGCTCGATATTTTTTCTCAAAACCGCTCACGCTTTTCAGTAACTTTGCAAGTTGCATCTAAAATGGTTGGGAAATACCTTCAAAACTTTGTCAGTCACATACTTTGGTTTGTGGTTTGTTTGATGTACCTTAGCGGTCGATGAGGCAACATATTTAACATTTATGATTTTGTTTCTTCGTTGATTGAAGGCACTTGTCGTTTTTTTTTAATATTAAAATATTTTAATTAACGATATAATAATTGATTATATTATTAAGTAGAGTATTTGACTATAAAATCAAAGTAATGGCTGTTGAATTTGAATGTTTTTCTTTTAGGTACTCAGTAAACCAGGAGTAATTACGGGCGGCGTATATCAGTTGCGCCAAGGCCAACAGCGTCGCGTGCAGGTACAAAATAATTTGATAATATTAAATTATTTATGTATTTATAAACATGTATTTTATATTCACATGATTAAAGTATTATTTGGGTTTTGCTTAAATTTTTATTTGTCAACATATATTTTAATTGAATATTTCGGATTGCTTGCGTTTTCAATTGAATTTTTCAATTTTCATATTCATAAACAGGTGCTGGTTCGACCTGTACAGAATTCAGGCACATTACCGATCATTTGTCAAAGTATCGTGGATATTGCGATGGGTAGTGTAATTGTACGATCACGTCTTCAAAGACCATTAGACAGCTATCAAGAGGAGGATTTGGCAGTACTGAGAGAAAAGTGGACCGAGGCGCTGGAGAGGCGTAAACAGTATCTCAACTCTCAAATACAAAAGATTGATAAGAAAGGTAAAATATTTATTTATTATTACTTTACGATTTTTAAATTAGTAATCTTAAATGTAAAAAATATAAAAGAGAGTTCAAAAATAACGTTGCAAAAGTCTCATATTTTTTATATATGAACTATTTGATTATATTATATTTTAGTTTAAGAAAATAGTTGAGAAGAATAAAGCACTTACATGCGCTTTTATTCATATGTAATCATTTCCACAGCATCTCGGCTGAGCTAGTAAAAACATATTTTACATATTGCATTATAATGACTATGACTGTTAATCTTGAACAACTTCCCGCAGGGTAAGTTATAGTAATCGCAAGAAATCTCTATGTTTCAAAGTGTTCTGAACATTTTGGCATAGCTTAGAAAAAATTGATGTATGTGTGTTTGTGTATACAATTTTTTGTCGACGATTGCCAGAACACAGATCAACCGATTTGAATGATTAAACAAAAAATTTGATTCCTATTGATAAGGAGACGTGCTAATTAGTCTTTGGCGAAGGCAGGTCCAGCGGTTTCGAAGATACGCGGAAGAAGTCCCAAAATATAAGCACATCAAATTATCACATATTTATAGAGATTTTGTTAATATTGGTACAATTTTTTTTTTGCTTTAATAAAATCTAAATTTTCAACAAAAAATAACAAAATAAAAAAAATAAAAAATCTATTTTTTTTTCAATTTGCTTTGAGGCACGATGTGATGCCTCACTAGTTAGGTACCTACAATATTAAATAAAACTAAATTATAAATTTTTAACATAGGAGAAGAAAAAACGGAACAGGACAAGGAAAGAGAAGCAAGTTTAATTCAACAGTGGATGACTTTGACTGAAGAACGAAACACCGTGATGGTTCCTGCTGCTGGTTCTGGTATTCCAGGTGCCCTCGCTGCTTGGGATCCTCCCCCCGGGATGGAACAACACATACCAGTACTCTTTCTTGATTTAAATGGTAATATTCATTATATATATATATATATATATATATATATATATATATATTAGTTTCTGCTAATGATACCTGAAGCTTTATTTTACTAATTAGCATATGAACAATATCAACACCAAACCTACCGATAATTTTAAATACCTATTCCTACCACACGCGGTCAAATTGACCGATAATTAAAAAGTTATTTATTAACTTCCCGAAGGAGAAGTTCGTTTTTACCAAAAAATCACATTCGCTAATTTTATGTTTTCTCGACGCTTCAAAATTCTGAATCGAATGAGATCAAATTTGGAAATAGTATGTGTGTGTGCGTTTGCGTGCGCGTGAACAGATTTTTAACCGTAAATCGATTTCAAAAATTTAAAAGCCATTCGATATATGTCGATGAGGACTATCGTTGGTCAGTTTCGGCCAAGCCGTTTTTTGTATAAATCGCAGAAAAGTGAAAATTTTCGCTGGCACAATTTCTTGTAATAAACTGTTGAATTTTTTTTTTTGATGAAACTTTTTATGTTGATAGATATCATGTCCTAAATAACATACTAAAATTTTACGTCAAAGTTTTGAAAAAATATGATAGTCAAAATTTGTGTCAGAAGATGCTTTTGTGATGTGATGAGTTTTTAAAAATTCGACGATTTTTATGTTTTTTTTGACAGTAGATACTATAGTCTTGTAGATTATATTAAAATATTACGGCCCTACGACAAGTCGTTGAATTTTAAAAATTCTTCAAATTTTGCAAAAATTATTATCGTTTTTTTGGCATTTGTCAAAATTAGACTTTCGATCGACGTTTTCTCAAAAACGCCTGAAGCGATTTCATAAATTTAAAAGCCATTCAGTTTTGTGAGACAATCTGCTGAACCGTTTCTTTGTAATTTGAAAAAAAGTGTTAAACTTTTCGTCTACATTTAAGCTCATACTACCGAATCGATTTTAAAAAATCGAAAACTGTTCGAAAGATATTAGTTGGGAATGATACTGATTAGTTTTAGGTGAAAATCTAACGAACCGTTTTCTTGTAATTAACTGTTGCAAAAAAAAAAATTAGGCCGATTTTTATGGAACTTTTTTTGGCGATATATATCATGGTCTTATAGAACTCACTGAAATATTACGGCCTAATGACAAGTAGTTTAATTTTAAAAATTCATCAAAGTTTGAGAAAATGAGTAGTTTTTTTGAGGTTTGTTAAAATCAAAATGAGACGATTTACTTGGTATAACGATAGAGTACTTCTTGATGAACATAGTAAACCATTAAAGTCCTACGGAAAGTGGCACAATTATAAAAAAAATTATTGATTTTAGAAAATTTGCTTTTAGAAAATACCCCGAGTTAACTTGTTCGTTCGTTTTCAATTATGTGTAATGAATCCACTCGGAATAGTTATAATCATTTAGGAATTAAATTATTTATTATTGATTAAGTCGATTATTTACAAATATCGGGAAGTTTATGTAACTTTCCTCAAGGCAAAATACCAATACCAACTAGTTTTATTATTAAATTCCGATATTGAGTTATTTGTTGCTTAATGTAATAATAGAGAAATTTTTAAGATTTTTTTTGATATTAATTTTTATATAATACTTAAAAAAAATTATATTATAAAAACAAATTAAAAAATATGTTTTATACAGAGTATCATATGCATACATAATATACTTTATTCGGCTTTCTCACATTGTTTGCAAATTGATTTAGTCCGTTTGCTCAAAATTTTACGTAAAAATATTTTTTTATTTTGTAACTTTTGAAAATTTTTATTCAACATATTTTTTGCCCGCTCAAATCCGAACGTATAAATGGTGTTAGTGAAAACTTGATTCTATTGGGATTTTGTATATGCATCGCCAAGATCAGAAGCTAACTGGAACAAAAATTCCTTCCTGTAAATGTTTTCACTTGACGTTCATACAAAATCTACTCTTTTGTCCAGCTATGTCTAAAATTTTTAAGAACATTTAAAGTGGGCTGTCTCCAACTTTAGAACAACGAACTTTTCAAGTGGAATTGAACAATCTCTCTTTTTGTCTTTTCCAAGTAGGGAACCCATTTATTATATTTTACTTCACGCGCCAAAAATATTATTAGTATTTACTAAGAACTAGAATATTTTAAGTTTGATAATGGCATTTTAACTTTTTAAATGTTCTTTAAATAAGTCTTACAAGGAGGTTAAAAACGGTCAATATGACCTGCATTGGTGGGATTAGTGTTAAATTCAATTGCATTATCATAATGGGATTACCCTCGTCCATTATCACAACTCTAAATCAAAATTTCAAATGGCAAGTTTCAAGTTTTTAACTTCCCATAGGGTAAGTTATAGTAATGGGCCAAAAATCGAAAATGAAAATTTTTCTAAGCGTCCGATTTGAATGATTTAAACAACTTTATGCTTGTGTTGGCGAAACGATTGCTTTTGGGGAAAGAATTTTTTTTTAATTTTCAAAAAAAAAAAATTAATATCAAAAATTTTAATTCTCATTCCAACTAAAGTTCTAAGCATCACTTATATATAATACTTCAAAAAATTATAATAAACTATTTGAAAACATTTAATAATTCTCGAATATTTTATTAAGGTACGCGAAGTTCCAGCAATTTGCCTTAAAGCACGACACCACTAGTTATTTTATGTAACTAACTTGATGATGTTTGATGATAATAAATAATGGCTTTCTATGTTTAATTATAAAATATGTATTCTATAGGATTTACTTCTTAACGTAAGTAAGATTATTAATGTTTTAAATTTGTCAAAGAGCGTACTTTATTATTGCGTTACGTTTACATTTATTGTGTATAACAATATATTTATTATTAGATATGAATAGTAATAAAACATATATAATTTGCTTGAATTGTTATAAATAGAAACATGTTTTTTCGTTTTAATTTACAAACGCGACAGGTTTAATCGCACAAAATTTACAAAAATAATCATATTTTTTACAAATGAATTCTTCAATAATTTCAGCGGATGATTTATCATCGTCTAAAATGACAGGAGGAGAGTTTGTGACAGTCTGTGGTGAAAATTCAATTCTGCCAAAAGAACACGGAAATAAATTTTATCAACTTCAGATTTTGCATGAAAAGGACGTTTGCGCAGTTGCGGCTTGGGATTCATCTATGCATGACAGTCAGGCGCTAAACAAAGTTACTGATGGTGTGTAGAACTTATAGTTACTATGTTAAATTATTGGCGTGTAGAATTTATAAATTAGTACGATAAATTATTATTCATTATCGCATATATCACGTGACGTTTACATTGATTTAGTTGCTATCGCTTTTATTTTATAACCGTTGACATAGTTTAAATTTGATGTACTTAGCAATCTTCAAATTATTTAATACAATTTTTAGAACTCTCTTTGTATTTGTCACAATGTCGTGCCCATGGTCATCACTGATATTGATAATTTTTTCCTCCTGTATAATATTAACAAGCACACGTAAATTAAGAATTACGTAAGATCAAACCACGCTTTTGCCTTATCTCTTTATCAGTATTTATTCTCTAATATTTTCATTGTATTACTATTTTCGTCATATGAACTTGTTTTCATTTTGTACTCTCAATGTCTTTTGAATAGTACTTTATTGCATTTTTTGCTTATTTTTTTATAATTTACTATTACAGCAACTGAACAGGTGTACTTAATATTGCGGACAAAAGTGCGTCTCTCACATCCAGCGCCAATGGAATTAGTACTTAGAAAACGCTTGGCTTTGAATATTTATAAGAAGCAAAGCTTAACTGAGAGATTTCGTAGGCGGCTTGCAAGGTATACTGAATCATTGAATTATTTTAAAAATATTTTTTTATTTTCATCACTGGCATGTGTTTGTAAATATCAAATTATCCTTTTTTTGATCTAACCTATTCTTATCTCAAACTATTCATACCGGACTTCCAGTTCTTTGATGTAAGTAATAAACATTTTATTGTAATATTGTAAATTATAATGCAATTGATAGGACGTTAGACAAGCGTTTTTTCTTGTTGGGAATTAGATTTTGTACAATAATAATGTCATTTAAATGTCTGTACACTTTGACAAATATTTTTGAGAATGATCATTCCAAGAATGAAGTAATACCTGTTCTAATTTTTAAATATTCAGGACTGAAGGTACAACGCAATCAGGTGTAACATATGAGGTTGTATCAAATGTCCCAAAAGCTTCTGAAGAATTGGAGGATCGTGAATCTTTGGCACAAATTGCTGCAAGCGGTGATAATTGCTCTTCAAGCGACGGTGAAACGTATATAGGTATATTTATTTAAATAGCCTAATATCAAATACTGGATTTTTTCTAATAACTAGAATATTTTTTCAAAAATATAACTGAAGATTATCAATTCATATTATTCTTTAAAAATGTTACGTATTATTTTTTTTATATAATAGCACTTGAATTTCTGTAAAATTTGTATATATATATATAAAAAAATATTGATTACAGAGAAATATACACGTGGTGTAAGTGCCGTGGAAAGTATTTTGACATTAGACCGTTTGAGACAAAGTGTGGCTGTTAAAGAACTTCAACAAGCTCAAGTTCAGCCTATGATGAGAAAGACGGCAAGCGTTCCTAATTTTTCACAGGTATAATGTTATTGATTAATCCACTAATATATTATTGATTAATTATGTTTTATTATTTATTTAAAATGATATAAATTTATTGAATATTTAAATATGAATGTTAAATTTAACATTAATTTAAATGTTCATGAAAATAAAAATATGAATGCTAAGCTACTCAACTATTCAAGATTTTACATTAGAATTCTCTCTCAATGTCTTCATGAAAGTTTGTAAACAATTATTTTTGTTCAAAAAAATGCAAGTTATTTAGAGAATTTTCACATATATAAATCTCTCTCTCTTCTCTCTCTTTCGTGTATTAAATTTTTACTTTTTTTAAATACAGATGATGCACTTTGATACTAGCATGGAGTCCTTGATTGGTTTTGGTCGTTCAGAAAGTGTTGCCGATTTGAATTCTGAGTTAGTTGGGCACCTTCTGCAGCAACAAACAGGATCAACTGGTTCTACAGCAGCTAGTGCTAGGTCGCGCACTGATTCACGCAACCGACACAGTTTTGCTGGCAAAGGCTACAATGATATTAGCGAGCTCACGGCGGCTAACAAATCTTTCGGCCTAGGTGAGTTGCATGTTTATTTACAGAGTTTTAATTTTTATGAGTTTTATTGTTGCTATGTGGCTACGTCGATCTAAGACAACAAGATTATTCTATTTAGTTGATTTGATAACTAAGCACGTCTCCAAGGTGAATTTTTTTCTAACTGTTTATTTCATATTAACAAGATTTGCACGTAACTTTATATCATAACCTGTAATCTCAAATTTCAAACAAATTTTGGATTTTTTGCCTTCTAAAAATGGTTGAAACAAATCAACCAAAGCTTATGCAATTTACCAAAAGGCTGTTGATGATTTTTTTTTTTTAATTCCTGGCCAATATAGATACTAGCTACCAATATAAAATGAGGGTTTAAGAATGATTTTGGAAATTCTAAATCCACATTATGAGTTGAATTTCATAAACATGTCCAAACAAATATTGATTTCAGAAATGTATTTTAAATAATAAATGGCTATTTTGGATTCATTTGATTCGGTTTATTTTTATTTTATGAACAGATTGCTCCTATAAAAGCTTGTTCAAATTCTGATTATTTCATTTAAATTATCAGAATTAGCAAAATTTGGATTTTGCGCATCACTAAACTATGTTGAGCTATTTATACATTAAGAAAATTTTTGTTGTCTTAGATTGCTAATTGGCAACAATGAACAAATTTAGACGCAAATGTAACTTAACATATTGTTCTTGAGAAATTTACAAAAAGAACATTTTTGTGTGTTCATATTTTTAATATTCAGATATGTTTTATAGCTTAGCATATGTAGAATTACATACGCTGAATTTTATAGCGGAAACAAGAAATTATTTTATATATATATATTTTTTTAGAAAACTGTTAGTTTATTATAGTTGAGATATTAGACATTACTAATCATAGCCAATTAGGCATTTTGATGAAATTTTATAAGATTAGTTTAAATATTCCTGGCAAAACGGTATAGCGTTTTATTTACTTTTGAAGAAAATCAAAATTTTATTATAGTATTTTACAAGGCACTAGTATAGTACTAGAAATGTTTATATTTATAAAATAGTTGAAGTATAAAGTTTCATAAAAAGTTGCATACTCTTGCAGATTATCTTTTTTGGATTTTGTTATTGCTCATAATAAGTAACTCCTTTACTTTATCTGATTGTACATTTGAATATAATACTACTCTTGCCCTTTTTTTTTAAATATCGTATAAGGAGTTTATCTGTTGGCAGATTTTGTACTACAACGCTTCGAAGATTATGAGCTTATGAATTAGATTTTAGTTAAACAAATATTGAGTAATACTAATTTAAAGATCTTACGAGTAGGATCATCAAGTTAGCGGAATTTTTGTGCTGAAAAAATAATTACTAATTGATATAATAAGAAACTAATTTATATAAAGCATATATATGCTGTCAATTTTTTTTCAGAATTAATATTAAATTCAATCGCTTTGACATCGCTTTATCTAAGCTTATGTCACATTTTATGGGATGACTTGTCTTGAATGAGTTGCATATTCATTCAGTCAGTATTACATTTTTTATGAAATCATTATATTCAAGATTAGTTTTATGCAGAATATATAAACTAGAACTGAGTGATGGGAAAACGACAAGAATAACATAATATCAAAATGGGAAGTTCAATAGCAATTAATGAGTTAATTACGCTTAATATTCATTGTTTTGATAAATTATATTACTCAGTTCTGGTAAAATCACTTAGAGACACCGATCTTGTATTTTGTATTTATTTTGTTTAGCAAGCTTTTACTAACATTTACATTATCTATTCTTCTATTTTTCTCTGCAACCATCAAGGCTCCATTCTATCAGGTAAAATGGAGGCTTGCATACTTTTTAAAATTAGAGAGTTAGTTGTATATTTTGTTATTAGATTTGCTGTGTAGCATTATAAAGAAATTAAAAGAACATATCAAAATTTTGTCAAAAAAAGTAAATGTGATATAATAATGAGTTAAAAAGGTAAATAACAAAGAATTAAATTTAAGTTGCTTATCTGATTGGATGAACTCTTAGTAATATTCGCGAATTTGTTGTTTGCCTGCTATATGTTTATTACATTATGTTATATGCACTTTTAGTTATTATCCATAATTTTATATTTTAATTTGTCATATAAATACATTCATGTTCATTTCTTTTAGTTTTTAATATTATAATTTATTACCCTACATTCTTGCGCATAAAAGTCATTTCAGTATTATGTCATAAATCATCAGTATTTTTTATAAACTTATCAACAAATGAAATAATATGTGTGCATGTGTGTGACAGTCTGTGTGTTTCGTGAATGAAAATAAAAATTACATTATTGTTTGCATTAACAGAATTATTTAAAATTTACACTGTATTTATTTGTAAATAGTTTCATAAATGTATTTATAAATCAGGCCATTAAGAATTCATACAAATATCTACATATTCACAAATTCTGAGAAAATCAATAAAAAAATTTGTTTTGCTATGAAATTTTCTTCTAAATTAATTATAAACTAAATACAAAATTAAAGACAATTTGACATATTAGTAAGTAATGCAAACAAATATCGAAAGAAGTCGGTAAGATTTTATTATTTTTTATAGAACAAAATTAAAATACTCGCTCTATTAGTGAACTAAATTTTTTTTCTATGAGTCTATATCTTCACAGTACTGATTTTTTAATTAAATTGACATTAGCTTTTTCAACACATCAAAGAACGATTTAATACAATGAATGAATGAATACTATAAATTTAAATACAATGAAATTCTTTACAAGGTGGAAATACATTGCCATACAAAATCCGCTTCCATTTGTTATTTATAGAATTAGTAATATTTTTTTTAATTTGCTGTCCAAGAAAGTGCATTTATTTGATATGGAAACATGATTATAAAAGTGTGTATATATAGCGCTTTATTTCTTCAAACATTTCTTCAAAATGATGTATAATTTTCATAAATGATTCATTATATTTTCCAACATTTTAATAAATTTTTATCGCAACCTATTATTTAAAATGTAATCGACAATTCGAAGAACCAGTATGTATTATTTCAGTTATAACATATTAATTAGGAAAGTGAAAATATGCAGTTTATTTTTATCACTGCGAACAAACGCAAGACACTTTTCTCTTGGAATAATTAATATAAACAAAATATATGTATAACCTACAAAATATAAAGAATATGTATCTGTTTGTTATGAAAAAATGTTATTTTGAGTTGGTATGATTTAGCAGTGTACTCTCATCATCAAATATCAAATCATTAATGATTAGCATTTTGTATTCTCATTGCAACATTATCACTCATATTACTAGCAAACTTTTTGCCTTGAGATGATTTATGTTAAAAAGTAAAAAATAAGTAAACAAAATCAGATTCAAACGTTATAATTTTTTATATTAGATATTGATTTATATAATAAAAATATTATAATCTAATTATGATTAGATTAGAATATTATTGAAGCGCTCAGAGCATTTATACCAATTGATTTTATGCGGCTTTCAATACGACATAGATCATAGAAGTGTTTTTGAAAAAATTATGTATATATAGTAACTGGTGAGCATGTTTTTAATCTCCTTAAAGTAAGGGAAACATCTCTAGATGAATTACCTAAAGAAAATTCCGCAAGTTGTGAAGCTGATCGAGTGAAAATAATTTTTGCTTAGCGGTTTTCTACTTAAAATATAATTTAAGCGTTTTACAATTGAAACACTGATGATACGTTAGCTGCATGTTACAACCCCTAGCTGCGTATAGACTTAATTATTAGGTAGTTGTAATTGTAAGTGTTGAATGATATAATTTAAATACCATAATAATATTTCAATATATAATATACATCAATTATGTAATATTATATAAATCAGAAATACATTTTATGATAATGATGATCGTATAAATTTCAATCTGTGCATAAATTATTGTTCATAGTTGAATAAAATAAATTTATGCTGCTGTGTAATATTATGCACATTTGTGTTTAAAATTTATACGATTTAATCAATTGGCTCATATAAATAAGTCGGAATATCGACATCTATGAGCATACTATATATATATTTCTGTGTGTATTACTAACATTTCATATATTAAAATTTACAGCAAGGCCTACATTCCTTAATCTAAACTTGAATCTCAACTCATTGCGACAACAGCAACCGAATTCTAAACGTATGTAACTCAGATGAGTTGAATGTTGTATTGTGTGGTACGCATGATAACGTAGAGTTCCAATTCCCTAATTATGCTCATTAGACTTATGCTTTTTATCTCCAAAAATTGATATTTTGGACTTTTGCGCTTGCGTTTGTTTTTGCGAATTACCTACCATTATCTAAGTGCACAATAACTGAAAACAACATTTGTCGACACCTACTCAACAAGTAGAAAGCAATTAAAAAATAGATGCAATACCTGGACAAATTACAAAGCTATGCTCTATGCCTATGGTTAAGCTGTGACTGCAGGGACGTGCTATTGCAATTTGAAACGTTTTTGCGTTACGCTACTATTATAATTGGAAAAACAAACCAAAGGCGACACATGAACATTTACCGTCAATCGAAGTGGATCAATATATGCGATTCCCATTTGTAATTGAGTCCAAAGGAGTATATGAACAACTTGGATATTAGTGTTTGCAAAATTAAACAATCAAAACGAGAAGCACGATATTAGAACGAAAGGTTGTTAACTATCATCGCAAACATAACGCAATCTGCAATTTTTTGTTATTTTTATTGTATTAGTGTCTTTTATTAGCATTGTTGCGTAGTGGTTAAATATTTTTAATAAGCATCAATTTCATTTTCATTATATTTAAATGAAATAATTTTACTATTTTATTTTACATATGTAAGACATGTATGCAATTTCTATATGTATATATACTTACATATATAATTTACATACATATATAAATTATATACATATTTTATAAATTACATATATGTCTTAGACATTTGTGTATATATATATATATACACAAGGTATCCTATCTTCTATATATAGGTTCTACCAATACTCAACGTCAAGCCAAAACAGGGTGATCGTGTTGACCGTAATTGTCCTGACAAAAAATAGAAGAAAACTTTTAATTGCAATTTAGCGCATCGGTGATTATTCTTAGATTATTATGGTTAATTTCTATCACCTTTGTTTATTAAAACTTTGGAACCGTAATCGTGAATAACATTTCTAGGACCTTAATAAAAAATAATGGCACAATCGCCCCAAGTTTTCAAGAATTAAGACATTTTGTTGAATCAGGAATTCAATCCATTTTGACTTGACGTTGAGTTCCGGAACACCCTATATATAGATGTATAAATATATATATATATATATATATATATAATACAAACAAATTTATTTTGATTGTTGATCTATACGTAGCTTTTATACTTTTACATTTTGTACTTATACATTTATATACGGCAATCACACATCTTTTTATTATAGTAAAGATTCGTTATTATTCGTTATTTTAAGTTATAACAATAAGTCTAGTATTATGTGTTATCTTATAAGTGTTTGATATATTATTTATTTCTCTCAATATTCAGATATTAAAAAAAAATCTTATTAAATTTTATAGCTTCGCCTGCTAGTAACAAAATGTCATTACGTATGACAACCTTGCATGAGGAACCACAGCGTTTAGGGGCAGTACCTCTTGAAGAAGATGAACATGCAGAATCAGCAGAAAGCCACAGCGATCCGGAACTTGCTGAATATGATTCATATCACGTATGGCTAAACATTTCAATTTCACTAAATATTGATTCAAGAAACCACAAATGATATTTCATAATAATAAAACAAAGAGCTTTATCTTCAATTACGTTAATTATTTCTTTAATGCCAATCAGCTATATTATATTATATACTTGTTACAATTTCATTTCGCTGTTACAATTTTATTTTGTTGTTATAGGATTACAGCAATAATATTAAAGACAATGTGAACAGACATCGAATCAGTTCCTCGCGTACTTTGGACTCCCTGGCCGAATTGAGCGGTTCGAGCAGCGGTATGTGCAAGTTTAGCAATAGTTTTGGTACTCCGTCCACAAGTTCTAGCGGGTATGGTTCTGAAGCCGTATCCTCTTCTAATCTAACCAATGACGACATACTTTCTTTGCGCAGTATGAGTATTGACGAAACTCCCGACTTAGACTCTAAGCAAAATACGACCGGAGGTATGAATTCTTTGTTTCCGTTTCGTATGAGCTTTAAGATCAACTTTTCAATATTACTACTCATATTTTGTTGCAGGTGTCACACCTTATACGCCCGGTTCACAAAAACCGCGAGTTAATCCTTTTCTCAAACATTTAGGTCACGAGAATTTCACTTCTGTTGATTCAGCTCTGCAAGATGCGAAGAACGAAATCCAGCCTGCGTTGACGGAGCTATCTTCCCAAGAAGAATCCTACTTAAATTATACTGATGACGTTAAGTCAAACATGCAACCTGGAAGAGTAGTAAGACGCAAAAAATCAACTGGAAAGAATGCCACGCTTGCATCGCATAGAAACAGTTTCCCCGCTTCCAAAAACTCGGAAAAAACAACAAAGAAAATTGTTCATGAATTGAGTGCAACGGAATCCGCCGACACTGATTCATCTTCTGAAAAATTAGAAGGTAAAATTAAAATACACTATTGTTGAAACTTTCCAGTTACGTAATATCATCATTATAAGGAATAATATACTTATCGGTATATTTATCTACTTTTTATTATAAATTACTATTGCTTTAAAGCGTAACGTTTCATGCACAGCTTCGTTGCGTATTCACTCATATATAGTAAATATATATAGTAAAAGTACTGAGATGTATCAAATTGTCTAAATGATAGATGAGAATGATGTTTCCATATTTGGTTCTCGTACGGACATGTCGCAATCGTACGCACCACCTACTCCAGATTGGGTCGTGGTAGGAGAAAGTGTCCTGATCAGACCATACAATACTTCGGGTGTGATTGCGTTTGTTGGTAGCACGCATTTTCAACCAGGAACCTGGGTCGGTGTGGCTCTAGATACTCCAACTGGTAAGTTTATTACCAATTTGCATGCAATAATTTTATGCGAATTTAAAAACTTAAGTTACAGTGTGTGCATAGTATAAGACAGAAGCCGTACTATGTACGATTATATATTATATTATATATTATATTTATATTTGTATTATATATTATATTTATATTTATATCAAATTTATATTATAATCGATAATTCAGGTAAAAATGACGGCATGGTGCAAGGTATACAATATTTTTCCTGCAAACCTAAGCACGGTATATTTGTAAGAGCAGAAAAACTTATACAAGACCGAAGAGGACGATTAATGCGCTCATATAAAGCAGAATCTACTGAAAGACACGAATGTCACAGTAATGGCATGAAGAGAAGTCTTAGCAGAGGTATTTTTAGAAATAATATTATTTTAGATTAATTTTTTTTATGTTATATTACATAAAATGTAGTTTCAATACATTTTCAGTCACACGTTCAATTGAATTTCAAATATAATGTTAATTTCAAAAATTAAAAAAAAATAGGAAAAATATTATGATGTAATTATTATTTCTTACAAAATCAGATTCTAGAATTTTATTTATACGGATATGATGGTATTGTATCTGTACTGTTTAAAAAAAAAATCAAGTATATTTAATATATCTTATAAAGATAGATAGAATTATATGATTTTTAAAGTTATTTAAATCTGATTTGATATTTTCTTCCTATTTATTATTGAATATTTATATAATAATAATACATCATGTCGTTTGAAATATTTACTCATTAGGTGAAGGATTATCATCTATGCATCGATCGCGCAGTCGGGGAGAGAGTTTGAACACTGTCGGAATGATTCGTTCATCGCAAAAAAAATAGATGTTGACAAGTTAGCATTCTTGGCAGTCTTAAATTAGTACACATTCCTTAATTAATTAACAATAATTAATGATTTACTTTAAATATTAGAAATAAAAATAAATATCTAGATTTGGAATGAAAAAAAAAATAGTAAATCTCACCAATTCTTGATGTGACAACAATTTTAGGGTAGCATTTTATTCTAAATTGAAAATGTACCATTGAAATATTGCATTTATGTTTTAAAAATAGATTCAATGTACTTGAAATGCTAACTACTATAGAGCAATACTAACCATAAAAAAATATAGAAAAATGTTTCTATTTGTGATTTCTATTTTTAGTTGGATTATTTTAAACCTATAATAAGAATTAATATTTCTTATGAAGAAATGTGTAATATTCAAATTCTTATTTTAATTATTAATAAATATTTTACCAGTTTAATTTTATTAATCTTTATCCTCCTACTAGTATTCTCTCAGACACTGACATTATGCTTATGACTATTATCTATCTAAGTATGATTTCTGTTTTTAACCAAAGATTATGCTTTTTCTGACTTTGATATATTTTTGCTTTGATAGTTGAATAATTTTTCAATGCCAAACATTATTTCAACATGTTCTATTATGTGGTACTTTTATAAAAACTTTTGACGTTACCTGGTCAAAATGGTAGGAGGTTGAAGATTAAAATTATTATAAACTTATTAGAAATAACTATTACCTATTATATATATGCGAGGGTGGTATTTGTGCTTTGTTATTTGTTTCTGTTGAACTAAAATTTGTTGTAGATCTTTAGAGGGTTAAGTAATTATTTAATTCCAATTAAAAAGCGTGATAAGAATGTCTCAATAATATAAAAGCAATATTTTATCAAATTTCTATCATTATTTTTTATTCAATAATTAATGAGGATTTTATATATACTTCTTGTTATATAAACTTGCCATGCAAAGTATTTTCCATTTTATTCCATTGTATTTCAATAAGTAGCAAAAAATTAGTGTTTGCATTCCCTATTTTTTCTTTAAATTAATTTTTAACTTGCATATCCATCTGTAGATTATTCTAGCAATATGAATCTAGTCCTATGGTATAACAATACAAAAATATTTTTATTGTGTATATATAAAACTGTATTATACATTGATTTTTAAATTTGTATTCTATTGTATGGGACATATCTCATTCTGCAATTTCCATATATTTTAATATATTGTTTTATTGGTGTATAACTTACGGTAGAATACAAATTTAAATGACCTCATAGTAATATGAAAACAAAACTTGTCAAACTAAAGGTGTTAAGACTTAATTATAAGTTGCATTCTCTGGTCGTATGGTATACTTTTGCATATCTAATGCTTTAGTAGTCGCATGTGATGTTTAAATTTGAGGCAAGACCACCAAAACGTCCAAAATTTATTTGCATTTAATCCATCCAGAAAAAGAATGAAATGATTTCTTGTTCAAAATCTGTCCAAATTATGTGCAATTTAATTACAATAAATTCACGTTACTAATGATCAAACAAAACTTTACCAAGTTAAGGGTGTGTCAAATTTTATTAATCTGGTTTAGATTAGGAATATTAATGTGCATGTGTGTATATACCTATATAATATATATATATATATATATATATATATATATATATATATATATGCGTGTGCGTGTGTGTATGTGTGTTTGTGCTTGTATAAGTCCATATAATCAAGTTAATCAAACTCAGTTTTATTTTCTTGTGTAATGGCTCAAAACAATTCATTTTTATAGGAAATCAATTTATGTTAAGTCTATTGTGATTGCTATATTATGTATGCTATTAATAATTGTTATGTTTTTTATTATTATCAACATTCACAAGAATTTTGCAAATATATTTTTGTGTTAATATTGCTATAATTGCATTGTATAATTGTTTAATAATTTTGTTGTTTTTTTACTGTTAAAATTTGCTCTTTTGAATAACAATTATGTCATTTATATAAATAAAGTATTATCAATATTAACTTGAAATTAATGTTAAACATAGCAGAGCTATTTACACAAGATGATTTGAATGGAATTCAAAAGTTCTCACAGGCCATAGTTTTAAAAAATTTAAAATGTACAATGTATGTTAAGCATACATTTAATTATTTTCTCAGATGATAATTAAGTATCATACCAAAATATAGAGACCATGATCAATAAAGAATGAACATGATTTAAAAATTGTGTTTTATTTAGGGTCTCTATTCATTAAAACTTGCTTAAAATCCATTTTTCAATAAAATATTAATTTCATCATTCAATCTTAAATAAAATTGTAAATATATTTTTAAATCAAAGTTAATTTAAACTGTTTCATCATTAGCTGATTAGTAAATGTTTCTGTACCAGGTCTTACTCATGGAATATTCAACCACAAGATACGAGATTATTGTTTGGCAAAACTTTTCTTTGGAGAATGACAAAATTACACAATGGACTTTCAGAGAAAAGAAAACGGAGCGTCTGAATTAAATGGTTCAAAAAAGATTTTTATGGTATTGACGACATGAAGAACTGATGAAATTTTTGTGAAGGCATGTCCAGCGGTTTTGGAGATCCAGTAAAAAAAGTAAAAAAGTCATATGGGGAATAAAAAAGATCATTAGACATATGAAAATCTATTTATCAGATATTTTATAGGGATTTCAATAATAAGTACAAATATTATTTACATTTCTATTGGTTTTGTACCTATGTTTAACCGTTAGACTGCTTACGCACCTCTATATTTCGATTTTACGCAGCTAACGCAGCACGATTGCTTTGAAAGGAAGTTCAAATTGAAAAATTCGAAATATAAAGAGTATGAAAAATCTAACTTTTTCAGTTATCAAAAAATTTTAAAGCTTTTTTAAAAATTTAAATTCTTGGTTTGGAAAGTTGCAGCAGTTTGCCTTAAGGGTCATGCACCACTAGATAGTTCTTATTTTATTTATAATATCTGTTTATATATAAATCTGGAATTTTACCGTAATTACTATTAACTTCCCATAGGGTAAGTTATAGTAATCGCAAAAAAAAATCGAGTATATATTTATATATATTTAAAATAAAAATTTTTGCATTTTTTTACGTTTTTAAATTAAAAATGGATGTACGTTTATGCGGGTATGTGCGGATACAAATTTTTGTCGACGATCTCGGGAACACAAGTCACCCGATTTGAATAATTCAAAAAACATTCGATGCGTATTGATAAGAAGACGTGCCGATTAGTTTTTGGCATAGGCAGGATAGGTTTCGAAGATACGGGGTAAAAGGAGCTAAAAATGGTAATTAATTTTTTGAGAGTACGAAGCGTCCGATTTGTATGATTCAAAAAACATTTTACTTGTATTGACGAAATAAAGAACTAGTGAAATTTTTGGGAAGACTGGTCCAATAGAAAAAAGAAAAAAATGTCATTTGGCGGACAAGAATGATTATTAGACATATGCACATCAAATTATCACATATTTTATAGATATTTTAATAATAAAAACAAATTTTGTTCTAAGAACCAATGTTTATCCTTTAAACTGCGACGCGGCGCCCACGCGCTTCTATATTTCGTTTCTACGCAGCTAGCGTATCATGATTGCTTTTAAAAAAAGTTCAAAATTTCGAAAATATTTCAAAGTATAAAAAAAGTAATTTTTCAAAAATGTAAATTATTTTCAAAAATTTAAAAATCTCAAAAATCGATTTTTTACAGAGTTCTAAGAGAAAATTGGATCTTTTTTAAAAATTTTAATTGTTGGTACGGGAAGTTCTAGCAATTTGCCTTAAAGCACGATGCCATGCACTATTAGTTATTAACTATTTATTCTTTATTGTATTTTAAGACGTTAGATTTTAAGATGTAAGATATGACAGTTTTGGAGGTTAATAAAATAAGGTAGACTGGGTAGACATATAATATTTTTGGCGTTTATATTTGTAACAATGGTGTTCTAGCTAATTTGTCATGGCCCGCGTGTTAAGTTTCATTACGTATTGAACGTGTTGAAGAAGAAATATAGGTGTCCACGCCTAGAAACCTAAACCAAATTCTGGTTCCATTCTGGTTCAATCAATTTCTGAGGGCCTCCGTGAACTCGAATATTGTGTCTATGGTATATGGTTTTCTTTGTTACTAGCGCCACGCGGAATATTCCGAATGATTCCGAATAGCAAAGCAAAGCAACGAAGCAGTGGCGCTTTCGTCGACTGCATCGTAGCGTGCTGTCGTGTTCTGTGTTATCGGTCTCGTGTGTTATCCGACGGTGCATGGCCAGTCCGGCACAGTATGCTTCGTATGCGTTCTTTGGTCTTGTAGTGATTGTATGAGAATTTTGTTGTGTGCTATAGGGCTTCTTCGTATTATTGTTCCTAATGTCAATTATATGAGAATTATTCAGTTTTCTGTTTTGTGAATTATTTTTAGTGTAGATAATTGTGTTGAAACTAAACAGTGTAATGCATTTGAGGATATATTTACTCTTAACTACGTGTGCCCTTTTAGGACATACACAAACAATAGAGGTTAGTACATTGACCACTTGAATGTTTTTGACTACTGAATTCGGAATGCAAGATGTATATTAGTTTATTTTGAGTCGTTTTAGTTATATCTTTACGAAAAATTACAATTAAACTACTTTTCTGTGTATACAGTGATGTCAATTTAACAGATGTGTTACAACTAAACTTCACTGTTTATTCAGATGCATTTTACATCACAGCCCACACTTCTTCAGATTTCGTACTGCTAGATATTCAATTGAATATGGTATTCAAATTGGAATTACTTTCTGTTAATAGCCGTTTATATTTACAGAAAATTCTATTATATTAATTTAAACTACGACAAGTGAATATTTTTCATAATCGAAAATACATTTTTGGTTGAGAAGATGAGTGTGTGAAAATTCTAGTTTTGCTTGAAAATGTAACTATATGACAATTAATATAGAAATAAGTATCAAAAGCGAACATTCAATTATGATGGGTTAAACATGCTAGAACAATTTATATGTATTATAATGTTATTATTTAATAGATCTATGTCAATTTATGTCTTATCAGATACATAAATGATTGTCTTTTAAAAGTCTCATGCTTCAGATTAAATTATTTTTAATAATATAATTTGTTTCATAAAATCAAAAACGAGAATGACAATGACAAATAAGTATTAAGTCCACGGCTCCTGTCAGGTGTAGGGTCGTTCTTAGAACCTGCTCTGAGCTGCCACTTGCGCAATTCATTTGCTGCTTTTAGTATTCATACATAAATCGTGCTAAGCCTTTGAGCATTAAATTTCATAGATATAATTTGTTATTAGCTGTTAAAAAAATTGAACTGTAATTTTTCTGTAATCTGCTATTTCTGTAATCATTGCGAAGACAATATTTAATGCATGTAATTGCATCTTTTGTGGATGCAGTTTGTATAAGGCAATTTGGGTTAGGGAAGCTAGGGACTGGTTGTAAGCGTTTTTTTAAAATTAATATGTCTTGACATCGATCTTGATTATATTTCTACGGAATAAACATAAATAGTTGCTGCAACTATTCTCCTACCGAATCAAGTAAAAACTAGTGGTGCATGGCATCGAGCCTTAAGGCAATTTACTGGAACCTCCCGTACCGTAATTAAAAATCTTGGTACGGAACCCAATAAAATTTACACAAAATGTGCACACATTAATAAAATTTCTATAAAATATCTGATAATTCGATGTAAATAAACATTTTTGACCACAAAATAACATTTTTTTAACTTATTTTTAGTGAGAGTCTATAACCGCTGGACCTGCCTTCCCAAAAATTTAATCAGTTCTTTATCTTGTAAATACAAGTAAAATGTTTTTTGAATTTTTAAAATCGGACGCTCCGTTCTCTTAAAAACTACCTTACCGTTTTTGGCACTTTTTGCCCCGTATCTTCGAAACGGCTAGACTTGCCTCCGCCAAAAACTAATCAGCACGTCTCCTTATCAATACGATTCTAATGTTTCTTGAATAATTAAAATCGGTTGAATCGTGTTTCCGAAATCGTCGACGAAAATTTGTATCCGCATACACACACATAAATCCATTTTTTCAAGGTATGCCAAAATGTTCAGAAACCTTCGAAACGTGAAGATATATAAAAATTTCCCTACGGGAAGTTAATAATTCCACAACTGTTGTTCATTATTTCACAATTAATCATTTTCTAGAAAAAGTGCGGTATTACAACTTACCCCTTGTTTGGGGCTAGTTGTAACGTCTACCAATTCAAGCAGTATCGACAAAAAACGACAATACTTCTGATTATTTATTTTTTACTTATTTTCAAGAAAATTTACTTGTTTCTAAGTAGTTATTTTCATAAATCAACGGAAACTTTAATTGATACAAATAAAATATATAATGTTTCTCATAATATAATTTTTCATCATAAATCAATGTAAACTACAACTATTATTATTCTTAAACGTAACGTAAACTTACATTTACTCACATCATACGCACTATGAATTCCATTTAATATTTTTCACTGTATATTTTTTGTATGGTACAACTAGTCCCAAGGTTTTGTTTCAACTAACCCCAGTGATTTTTTTACATTAATCAAAATAACTATTTATACTATTTAGCAACCACAAAAAAGCTTACACATTGATAATTTTAAACCAAAAACGATATTTAAAATTTAAAATTAGTCGATGATAATAAAGCAAACCGAAATTTTATACGATAGATCAAATTTATATTACCTGTCTGAAATGTTGGACCTGCACAGTTCTGTTTATTGCGTCGGCCTACATGATAGTAGCCGACGAGACAAAAAAAAATCGAGACAAAAAAATATTTCAGTGTTGTTAAGATCCTATTGAACTAGTGAGGTGCATGGCATCGTGCCTTAAGGCAAATTTCTGGAATTTCCCGTACTAATAATTAAAAATCATTAGAATCTCTCAAAAATCAAAATTAATAGAATATCTCTAAAATATCTGATTATTTGATATACATACGTCGAATAAACATTTTTGACCACAAAATTACATTTTTTTTAAACTTATTTTTATTGTGAGTCTATAACTGCTGGTCCTGTCTTCCCAAAAATTTGAACAGTTCTTAACTTCTCAATACAAGTTCTAACTTCTCAATACAAGTAAAATGTTTTTTGAATTATTCAAATCGGACGCTCCGTTTTCTTAAAAACTGAGTTACGGTTTTTGGCACCTTTTGCCCCGTATCTTCGGAACGGCTAGGCCTGCCTTCGCCAAAAACTCGAAAAATGTTTTTTTAATTATTCACATCGGTTGATTGTTTTTACCGAAATCGTCGACGAAAATTTGTATCCGCACACACACACACGCACGCGCGCGCGCACACACACACATACACATGCATCCATTTTTTCTAAGGTATGCCAAAATTTTCAAAAACCTTTGAAACGTAAAGATATATAAAAATTTTTATTTTCGATTTTTTTGCGATTACTATAACTTACCCTACGGGAAGTTAAAAAATAGTTACCCCAAAAGTCTTTGTCCAAAGTCAAGTTCGGAGATACGTGAAAATTTTTACATCAATTCAGGGAATCGATCAAAGAAATATATTTATGTCTTATCATAAAAGTAAACATAAAGAATAAATATCGAAGTTTGTAATCGTAATTGATATGCAGCTAAAGTTGAAAAGCAGGAACGTAGAAATGCGTTATTACGCTATTTGAAATCTTTGTTGAAATAAAAATTCTGTCAAACTCGTATGTTAGAACCTTTTTAGTTTTGTTACTTATATATATTTTGAGTATGAACTTATACCTTTTATCCCTATCTCCAGAACCGAATGAGTCGTATGAGCAGGAAGGCAACTCAAACGGTTGCTCTATCTCTGTGTGATGAATTTATTATTACTTTTTCCGTAATACTGATAATTTTTTATTATAGCAACAATGCCAGAGAGTCCTATTTTCTTTTGGAAACGTTTTGTTATCTGTATTTTCAAATTGAAACCCGATGTCACTGTTGCTTGACTCAGGCTGACCAATGGGGGATCGAACCTAGAACCTCTGATTTGAAGTCCATAGCTATAACCAATAATTCTCGGTAAAGTCTTTGGGGCAACCCAAACGGTTGTCATATTTCTGTGTGAGGGATTTATTATTTATTCTGTAATACTGCGTACTTTTGGTGGTCTAATTAGTGAATGTGGGTAACTGATAGAATTCATCTCAAACTAAAACTGTGAAATTCATTATCAAAATGGCGAATAAAAGTCGTCTTTATTGTCTGCGACCGAGCAGATGGTGTACACATTTTTTATATTCGTGAATTCTTTATTTTATTGGTGGTGACTCCAATGTATTTTATGAATATTTTGGCAGTAGTTACAACAACTATGGAGGTCTGGAAATTAGCCATTCATTCAGAAGGGCTCTGCATTCTAAACGATGGTATTGCTGCTAGTATTTAATTATTGCTAGCTCGTAATTGCAACTCACTATGGCGAAGTAATTTAGGCTTGTAATGCTTATTGTCAGATATTATATATCTAATTGAAGATTCTTTTGAATATAATATTAACGTACGCCTAACTTCTTCGAATTAGTAGAAGAAGTATTTAATGTCTTGAGTTAGAATTTGTAATGTTAAAATTAATTGCAATTTGTATTGTTGATTTGAAATTACATAGGAAGATAAGTAAGAAAATGAATAAAAAAAAATAATGTAGAATAACAAAATGAGACGAAGTAGGTGGCTAAATGCTCCAAGTAAGCAGCGAAGCTAATAAAATTGAAAAAAAAACCTACTTGTAGCAATATTACTGTTGAAGGCAGAGGAAAGTATCTATATAGACCAATCACATACTCATCTATATTGTTGTTAAAACGCATTGATATCTTTTGTTTAAACTTTCGGTAGAATCGAAAAACAACCACATTGCCTATGATGTTTTAGTGATTTATTAACTTTACGAAAGAAAAATTTATGTTTTCATCAAAAAATTCGATTCGCTAATTTTATGTTTTCTCGACGTTTTAAGCCATTCTGAATCGAATGAGACCAAATTTGGAAAAAGTATATGTGTCTGTATGTGTGTGCGTGTATGTGAACAGATTTTTTTTACCGCAAATCGAAGTTTGTGTGACGATCGGGCGAGCCGTTTCTTTGTAAATCGCAGAAAAGTGAAAATTTTTTCGTCCACGTTTCAAGCCCGCAATTCTATATCGATTTTGAAAATTCAAAAACCGTTCGAAAGATATTGGTTGGTAATCGTGCTGTTGAGTTTTTGGTAGAGATCGGCCCGGCCGTTTTCTTGCAAAAAAAAAAAAAATCGGCTTCTAGATCATACTAAAATATTGCAGCCCTACGACAACTCGTTTAGCTTTAAAAATTCGTCAAAGTTTCGTCGAAGCTGGAACCTTGGATTCTAATAGAATTCCATTTAATATTGGACAATAGTGCTCATCCCATCGGATAGTGTGATAATAATCGGTAGTGCTGCCCTTAGGCAGGCCTGTGAGCTGTCCAACTCCAACTCAATT